AAGCTACTGCATTGCCATGTTCACACAACACACTTTTATTACTGAAGTAACACATTTTCTGGGTTTGGATAATCCTTTGAATCATGAACTAGCCAAACAAATTGCTATTGCCTCAAAATACTAAACCAGGATTAACCAAATACATCATGGTGGCTGAATCTATCTGCTAGCTCTCCAGCTATTCTAGTTAAACCTATTGTGTAAATACAGCATGTTTGTCATGTTAAGGTGTTGGTCCATTTGGTCCACTGTTCCACCATACACAGCGCTATATAGTTCTTGATGTCTGGACAAAAATCTTTTTCAGAATTCTTAAATAAGAGCATTGGCCCTGAGACTGATTCTGGGACCCTTGCCATACAAAGCATGTGCTGTGGTCCTTGTGCAGTTTTACATAGAGTAAACCCATTTTGTTAAAATAACAAAAATGAAAGGTTATGATATGTAGAGGGCATAGGGAATGGCCTTGAAAAATAGGAGGAGGAGCCGCTACCAAGGCAACAGTCAGTTAAAAGAGGCTTGAGCCCAGGCCAAGAAAATAAATTGAGAAAACGTCTCAGACAAGCCCCTCTCTAGTACACACAAAGGTAAAGTGAGAGGTGGGGAAGCACATTCAGGCTTGCAAGGTTCTGTTACTGTAATAAAAGTAGTCCTGACCTACATGGCATTGGATTTTAGTCTGGTTTACCTTCTATGGCTGACTTCAGTCTTGCAAGTCTGAATGTGCTTCCCCCTCCCTTATTTTTTCTGTAACTTCATGTGAACTAGGGAGGGGCTTGTCTGAAATGCTTTCTCAAGTTATTTTCTTGGCCTGGGCTCAAGCCCCATTTATCTGACCATTGCCTTGGTAGCAGCTCTTCCTCCAATCTTCAAGGCCATTCTCAATTTCCTCTGCATGATAATGATCTTAATCCAATTCTTTTAATGAATCTGTTCTAAGGCTGGATTCAAGGTACAGCTTTAGGTCTGGGTGCTGCAGAACTATATCTTAGTTCATATATCATGCTTAGCCATGATGTGGTTTGATTTTGGCTTAGCCTTACATGAAGCCCCATACATAAACTACAGTTTAGCAGAACAATCTTAGCCCAATGTGTAAAGTGACATAAGGCAATTCCTAATGACAGCCACATGGTGGCCATAAACTCTAACTCTTACACCAGGTAGGCAGTGACTTTGGGCAGCTGCCCTCTTCATTTTCACTAGATTTTTACTTTCTATCAGAAGCAGGATTTTTTTTTCCTGTGTCAGCCCCAGTGATATGCAACTCTCTTCCAGAAATATTGAAATTATCAACTTTTCTTTGCCAGCTTCCTGCAAAAAAATTGCATCATTCCAAAAGGCCTGTAAAAGCTATGTTTGGCATTTATTAGACTTATTTTGCTTTTTTTCTTCTTTGACCAATTTTCATAAAATGTTTCTTCTGTAGCATACTTTTACTATTCACTGCTGTGAGAGTTTATGAACAGAGTTTATGAACATATGTATTTCTGTTCATAAACTCTATCACAGCAATGTATATATTTAATGTATAATATTGAAAAAGCATTTTATGAATCAGATAAAAAAGGAGCATTAGAAAACTAGCAAATAGTTCAGGAGAAATCCAGCAAAATACAACATGGTGTTATGAGAACTCTATAGGAATTGCACTGATTCTTATTTATCATAATCGCTAAGAGGACATAGATTGGAGTAATATTCCTTCTTTTTATACATCCTTGTTCTTTCTGTTTTGGAATTGTCAAAAGGAATTCTGGGAACCAAGTGCCACTGCTAATGGCAGCATGTGATCCTAACGGCTTGCGTATTAGTAATGCCTGGCATTGTAACAATGGTTCAGGTAGGAAAACAGTAATGGGAACACTGCCATGGTCCCCGCCCAGCTCTTCTTGGTACAGTAGAGTCTGGTCTTCCTCAGGACATCAAACCCATACTGTCATTGTCGGGTCTTCTAATGGATAAAAATTCCTATTCAACTCAAATTGCACTTAAACTGGAATTAAGAATAATTTCTTATTGCAATGACATCCATTGTACAATGCGTAGATGAACATAAGTAGGGATTTAGGTTTTACACATATTTCTACAATAGTAAGAGGCTAAAGACTCAGCAGGAGAGGCAGTATAGAATAGCCTTCCTCAATTCATTGCCCTCTGAATGCATAGTACTTCAACTTCCATAATGCCAAATCATAACAGGAATTATGGGCATCGAAATCTGACCTATCTGGAAGGCATCACTTTGGAGAAGGCTGGCACAGTGTTTTATTTATATTAATGCATCTCAATTGTCATCAAAGGTATTTCTCAAGGTTCTCTTTGGCCCAGGAAGCAAAGCAGTTGATGTTAAGGGTTGGGTCTCCATTAGAGCTGCTTTGTTACTGTAGAATAAAGATGAGGAACTGGTGGGCCTTCAGCTCCCAGTCAGCATAACAAATGACCAAGGCAACTGGGATTTGCAGAAGGACATCTGACTAGACAAGATTTTCCAGCCCTGGCATAGAAGAACCTCCAAATCTTTGGGAAACTATCATAGCCTTACTATGTGGAGGCTTGGATTTATATGACAGGCTCTCTAGATTATTAATTCCAGACAAATGAACAGCCTTGTATACTTTAAAGAGAAACTGACACTGACTTTTATAGAGTAGGCTCCACTTCTGGTGCAGGAGTGTTATCCTTAGAAAGGTAGAAATGCAAGGAGTGACCTGAGGTAACAACAGAACGTAATCTACAATAAGCTTAAATTGTACATATGTATGTGTGTAGTTGGACTGACACACACACACGTACATGAACATATATATAATGGTGAGTTGTAGTTTTAAAAATATCTAATGTAAAATTGTTAGGGTTGTACTCAATTGTGTTCCACTTCCAGGACAGTGCTTGGAGAACAGATTATCCTTTTTCCATGCAGTTGTTTCCAAAATCTGATCTACAGCATTTGTTGTCTCTGGATACAGTACTTCATATCTTTGGTACCACAAAAGCATTTACTGGATTATTATACTCAGTAAAGCACTTGGCAATATATACAATCAATAGAGGCTTTTAAGGCATATGTTACTAGAATTGTGATTTTCAGAATTCTATTTTGTATATTGCATTGACATAGATTTGTTGGAAATTGTCTTGAGAATTGAGAAACCCAACACATAATTATTACAATAAATATACCTTGGAGTCACGTGCACTATCGTATGTGGAAAACACACGTGAATGCTGCCACAATCACTATTTGCATAAGCCGTTTGTACTGTGCTTCTAAACAGATCTAATTATGTTAAATTTCTCTATGATTTTCACATAGAAAATGGCAGTTTATTTCCATATATATGTTATTCCCAGATAAGGAAAAAAAATGACATGTGATCCATCTTCAGAAGTAACATTACCCTCATGTGTGTCAAATTAAATGGACCAACCAGTTTCCTCTCCTGTATACAAGGGTTTTTTCCCCTCCTACAACTGTTCACATAATGAAAAATGGGTAATTAAACACAACTTTGTCTACACTGAATGTACATTTCCCCCCCCCTCTCTGATAGATGCTTGAGGATATGACTAAATCACTAACCCATGTTTAACAACTCAGACTACCATTTCTTTTCCTAATGAATGTGACTCTGGACCATTCTTCTTATTCAACAAAATTAGAGCATCTGAAGTGTCACTTGAGATATAGGAACAGGAGAAAAATGTAGAAAACACAAGAGTTAAGCAAGGGAAGCTCAATAATCTTTAGTTTGTCATGTGCAGTGTTACTATTAGATTCATAGGTGAGCAACCCAACACATGCGTCGCTTGGACTGTAGACCTCCAAGCCTTAGAATCATGAGAACTAGAGTTGCATGAAGAAGCTTAGGCAACCCTGGTGCATTTCAATTAATTCCTAAGAGAAGAGAAGCTGACACAACCTCTACATGCATGGGATAAAGTTAAACACAACATCTATCTAGGAATGCATGTGCAGTTTTTTACAAGTTCAGTATAATAAAACGAGTATAGGAAATGCAGAATTTTGGACAGAGTAGTTTGGAAACCTCCTTTGGCAGAAATAGCAGCTTCAAAACATTTTCTATATTCAACTAAGACTTGTTCTATTCTTGCTTTTATTTTCCCATTCAGAAAATAGTTCAGAAATATTCTTAGGTCTCTTTGCATGTTTGAGATCCCCCCACAGATTTTCAATAATATTCCTCTAAAATCTATACAGGCCTTTCCAAATCCTTGATCTTTCTTTCCTGTAAGGACTTCATGGTTGATTTGGAATTGTTTTGGATCCTTATCTTATGAAATATCCAACTTTTCAGCTTCAGATTCTTCACTGACTATGGGACATTAATTTCCAGGCTACGCTGAGACTGAGTCAAATCCATTATTCCTTCTACTCGCACAATATTTCCTGTACCACTGGCTGCCACACCACCCATAATATAAAACATCCACCACTTGGCAAAGTGTTATTTTCTTCAAATGCTTCACTTTTTTTTCTCATGTGTATCATGAGAATATATCATGTGTAGTTCTGGCTAAGCTGTTCAATTTTTATGTCATCAATTCAAATTACTGAAATGTTCCAAAACATTTCAGGTTCATCAAGGGTTTTTTCCCCATATTTCAGATGGTGACCTTTGTGATGAGATTGGAGAAAAGGATTCCTTCTGACAACTCTGCCTTGCAAATAATTGTTATATTAGCAATGCTGTAGTGTAGACAACTATCTCAGTTGAGCAATCTGCAGTGATCTGTGATAAGGTTGTACAAATCTGATGGTCTTCATTCAGTTCTAGCAGAGACTTTTCTTGATCTTCCAGATCTTGATTTGACTTCCACAGTTATATAATTTCCATTTCTTGCCATTGTTTCTTACACCGGAAACTGCTACCAGAAAGCATGGTAGGTAGGTAGGTAGGTGGGCAGGCAGGTAGGTAGATGATAGATCGATCGATCGATCGATAGATGATAAACAGATAGATATAGATGATAAATACATTTTACAGTCTTCCCTGGTTTTGTAAGAGTGAATTATTTTCATTTTCAAATGCCCAGACAGATGCTTAAAGGAGTCCATGCTGTTGAACATAGACAAAACTATCACAACCTGAAAGGTTACAAAGGTCAGACTATTTGTTTACTTATGGAATTGTCTTTATTTGGCTAACAGGAGGTCTAGCAAGTGAATCACCTTTTGAGGGCCTTATGAACTTCCTTACAGTAAAAAAAGTACTAATGAATCAGTAGGAAGTGCTTCCAAGCTTCTGCACCAGCCATATTCACTGTTTCCATATTCTAAATCTGTAAACTACTATTACTCAATAGGATATATGCACTCAAATTTGCAAAAAGATGTCCTGTTTAATTGCTTCTGTTCACTTAAGGATTCACTAAAACATACAACTTGACCAGAGATGCCTCAACGTTTGCATGCAATTCTGTGTGAAATAGTTTATCTTGATGCAAATCATAATTATCTTAACTCGAGTTGTGAGTTACCACCAATAGCCAATTATTCAAAGCTGGTCACCAGATTAAAGATTGTTTTCAAATTAAATTCTGAAAGCTCATTTTTTATATTCTAACATGAGCTCATGTAAGATTTAGACACAAATGCACAAGATATCAGGGATGAGACTGGTGAAATTAAAGATATGGTGCCCTACGATTTTGGCTATAAAAAAAAGTATTTTAAAATATTTTTTTCAACAGTTTTGAAGAAGTAGGTCAAAAGCATACACAAACCCTTAAGCATTATGGAATCAGTGCATCAGAACACAGAATGAAGCACAGGAGATAGGAGGGTAAGTAAAAGTTAACATTTACTGATACAGGACTGAGTATTATGAAGGACATACATGGATGGACATGGCAGTGGAGCCAGACTGAAGGCACAGGGCCATTTCCCAGCATGCCGAGGGAAAAGACCCAGACACCACCAAACAAATAACACAATGGAGATAACTGTGGCATATATATTTGTAACAAAGACCATAATAACATACATTTCTATTGGATCACATCGAGTGATTATATAAATCCATATAGAGACTGTATAAAATTTTTATAAAAAAATATTTAAAAAGTGTAAAAATGTGCATTTTAAAAGCATGGCCTCTGGACAGCTGGGCTGTAAACATTAAACTGAGGGTGTGCTTGTGGGGGCGCCTGCGCCACAGTGCCACAGACAGGCCCAGCAATGAGGCAGGACTTGTGTCAAGTGTTTGCCATTCTTGGTTTCTGGTTTAGTTCTGGAGAGAGAGAGAGAGAGAGAGAGAGCAGGGCAGGTTCTAAATGGGGAGGATACAGGAACTAATGTCTGCCCAGTTTTTTGCCTGTTGATGGCTTCCACCTAGTCTCTGCTAACTCTCAACCAATCGCTGTGAAAAGAGGAGTGGCGAGAACCATGATGCTACCTCTCAGTGTCCCAACATGTTCCAGGTTTGGAATGCACTGCAATAGGTTGCTTAAAGATCTTCCACAAGTTGAAGTACTGTGAGGACGACCAGGAAAGCCTTCACAATGGCCTCCACACCCACTCAGGTTGAGCCTCTGAGTGGCAATGGCAGCTTCCCACCTCGGTGTTCCATTGATCCTTCCTCTCTTCCTTTATCTGGAATGTGCAATCCTTAAGGAAGCTCATTAGTCTTGACTGCACTAATCTTGACAGTGCAGAGTTCGTCGTACAGTAAATAGATGAGAGACTCTCAGAGACCCTGTTTGTGCAACTCCTTGTCCACCATGCTCTCTTTCATTTCTTCTCAAGCTGTTCTAGCAGTGGATTGGCTTCATTCTCTGGTGTTTTCACACTATCTGTCCGAACAATGCAGGTGGGACGGTGGCGATTCAGCATCAAGATCAGCTGCTGCCTCTCCTGCTTTAACTCTTCTATCTGTGCCTTCAGCTCGGCATTCATGAGTTCCAGGCGCTCAGATTCCTATGCAAAATCAGAGAAATGTGGAGGTGACGTTTCAATTTCTCAATTACTCTGTGGGAAGAAGCTACTGCCTCATCTGATGCCCAAAACAAAGCAGACAGAGCACTTCCCTATTCATAGCCAGATTGCTCTACATTCTAAAGCACACGTGGAGAAGAATAACACAGGAGCTTCCAGAAAAGCAGGGTTTTCTTCAGATGTTTTATCCATCTTTACAACAGTAGAAGAAACAAGTGGTGGCAACATGGCAAGAGGACACACTTACCCGTTGCAGAAATTCAGTTCTCTCCTTCTTCTTGTTCCGACATCGAGCAGCTGCTACTTTGTTCTTCTCTCTGCGTCTTTTCCTCCTTTCCTCTTCCTCATCTAGCTAAGGAGAAAAACGCAACTATAGTAAGACAACTGGACAAAGACCAAGGAATCACAGGATGCTAACTACATCTCATCCCCCCAGCGCGTGATTTTGTGTTCCACAAAACACTTAATCCTTCCTCCTTAAGCTGCCATAGAGACATGGACTGAAACACTGAAAGCTATCTTCTGTTTTTCAGGGAAGAATGTTTGTGTAACAAGCCCACAGGTAGATTCCCACACCCTGATGACACTGATGTGGAGTAGATGCGGAGTAGATGCCTACATCTTAAGAGGGAGAGTGGGAATATATGCCACTAGTTATTCATCAGTCAATTAGCACCTTCAAAATATTCTTCTACCCACCCATGCATAAGCACAAGGATATTTAGGACAGCACGTCATTATGCCAGTGGACCATTTATCACCAATGAGGGCTGGATGACATTTTATATCACTAGTGAATAAAGGTTCAGCAAAGGAGCCATCTAAAATTGTCCTCCTGGGAATCTCACTGCAAAGGATCCTGAATGATTTAAATTATTTGGGTAACCTTCAGCCAGTATCTGCAGCACTCCTGTTAAAACTTCCCTGGAATGTAATGCTGAAATCAGCCCTGTTCAGATGATATAATCCCATCTCAAACTCAATGCAGAGAGAATGGTGACCTGCAACTCTACTCCCCAAGTCACAGAGCGAAACCTTTGCTTTTACTGTATTGTATATGCGTGCTTCATAGGGCTAGACCCTCCGACTGTTGCCATTTGCTCTTCCTTCACATTTGCATAACTATATATTCCAGCATTTGGTATGGGATATCCACTTCCTTCTACAATGATCTTACCTCTGGCATCTACTACATTATTGGATCTTTCTGCCCAAATCAATCAGACTTGCTTATGCAGAAGCAAATCACACTATGGTTACTTCCAAGTAAATGCTTTAGAAGTGTGGATAAGATCACAGCTTTCTCAAATGTCAACATTTTAAAATCACATATTCTCTTTTCTCAGACACACACAAACACACACACACACACACAAACTGGTTACCAAACATGCTTTTAATGTGAATATTACATGATTAAAAAACAAAAGCTAGATTGTCTGTCAATTCACCATTCATGTCAGTTTCAGTTCCAACATCAGCACTTTAAACATGGTTAATTTACAGCAGAAGCACAACATTATCTTAATTTCTGCTTCTGCAGATAGAATTTGATTGGTAATCAAAATCTAAGAAACAGTCATATTCATCCACGATTATTCTTTAATAAAAATACTTTAAAAAATCACTACTTCTACCTTCTCATATAGTCTCTGCATTGTAATCTTATTTATTTATTTATTTATTTATTTATTTATTTAGTTAGTTAGTTAGTTAGTTAGTTAGTTAGTTAGTTAGTTAGCCAGCCAGCCAGCCAGCCAGCCAGCCAGCCAGCCAGTCATTCAATTTCCATGGCCGCCCATCTCAAACAAGTGACTCTGGGAGGCGAACAATCATAAAATCAGTTAAAACCAAGTACAAACACAATACAAAAAATAAATATATATAGCAGCCAAGAAAAATAATAATCATAGATGTTAATATAACCAGGAAACAGGGCCCTTAACACACTTGGAGCCCAAGGCCTGGGCACATAACCAAGTCTTCAAGACCTTATGAAAGGCCAACAGGGTCAGGGCCATCCTAATTTCTGAAGAGAGAATGTTTCAGAGGGCAGGGGCTATGGCAGAGAAGGCACGCCTCCTAGTCCCCGCCAGCTGACATCCCTTGGCTGATGGGACCTGTAGCATGCCCAACCTGCCAGACCAAACTGGACAGATAGAAACAATGGAGAAAATGGTCCCCCGGGGTAACCCAGTCCCAAGCCATGATTCCTTAATATGTCAGCCTTTTTGAGGTTAATGAAGTAAATGTATTTTTACAAGTATAATTAAATACAAGCCATTTCTCGGTGCTAGAAAGGAGGACAAACTTTACTTTTCTTTTAATTTTAATCTGGGTTGTGTGAGAAAAAAAGGACACACTGTCCAGGCTGCTGTGTACGAGCTTCATACCAACTAATCAAGGAGGCAGTTCTTTAATATAATAAATATTTAGATGTAGGTTTGTTCATTCATTCAATCCATTTATATGGCTGCCCACTTGTTGTGTGACTCTGAGCAGCCAACATCCAGTTAAAAGCAACAAAAAATAACTAAAAATTAAAAGCCCATCGCAACCAAGGCACACTCTCTCTCTTGTATGTATGTATACGTATATATGTATATACAGACACACACACACACAGACAAACCCCTGAAAACAGGTTCATCTAATGTCCTGGCCCAGTGCCCGTGGAAACAAGGTCTTCAGTGCCTTGTGAAAGCCTGGAAGACTGAGAGCTTTTGGATCTGAGGGGTTACATCTGAGAGAGCAGATGCAGTGTTAAAGAAGGCATGAAGGCATGCCTCCTTGGTCCCACCAGATGTCACTGTTTAATAGAAGGGACTCAGAGCATGCCCACCTACTCCACTGGATGTTGTGGAAGAGGCAGAAATAATTGGAGACAGGTAGTCCTACAAATCACCCAGCTCTATTCCATGAAGGGTTTTGTAGGTCACAACTAACATCATGAACTGTACTCGGAAGCTTACTGGGAGCCAATGCAGCCCATGAAATAGTGGTATTACATGAGTGTACTGAGGTACGCCCATAATTATTTATGCTGCCACATTCTGGACCAGCTGCAGTGTTCAAATGGTCTTTAAAGGCAGCCCCACATAAAATAAGTTGCAATAATCCAGATGAGATCCTTTGTTCAAAGGATTTCACTTGCATCCAATAACTAACACTTTATACTATCATCCTTTCTTTGGAGAAAGGGAAAGGACAAGAGGACAAAATGGAAAGCATAAAGCTTGGGTAAGGAAATGTGAGATTTCCTGGAGCTAAGGTCCACTGAATACAGTACAATTTTCTAAGATGCTCTAGAGGCCATCTTATGACTACAGTTTTTATGGCCTACCATTCTTTCAGGAATGTCATTATGAAATTATGAAGTGTACACATTATTCTCCCTCCTGCATCCTGAATTTATTCGTCCAAGAAGCTGAAAATGCTAAATACTATACTATGCTAGTTTCTCTCACAGCTATTAGCCTGCCAATACTATTAGTTGAGCCTTCACAAGCAAGCATCCTTCAGTTGTATTAAGACTACCGGCTGCAATGTTTGGAAGCTACTATCTCAGCATACAGTATCTGGAGAGCATCTATTTGGTGAAGGCCATATCACTCAAAGAAGCCCGGTGACTGGATGGCATGCATATTTGTACCAAGTAAAAGAATAATGAGTTTGTAACAGGAGTCATATGACACCTGATTCAGTGACTTCTCATTTCACCATATTCTTGGCTACTATATAAGCTCTTAATTGTTTAGTTATAGTTTGCTAATTCACCAAACAGTTGCATTCAAAATTCTTCAGAAGGAGAAGGCAGAAAGTTGGGAAAATAAGAGAACTAGCTCTCCTTGAAATAGTTTCACAGTTCTTCAAAAAAGAGACTATATAGGCTTGAAATCAAATACACATAATATTCTCTTCTGAAAAACATTTGGAAACATCTCTGGAACAAGTGCCTTCCTTATCCCTTTTTATATAATTTAAGGATGCCTTTCTCCTATCAAGTTTGTTACTTTCCTCACTCCATCTGATAATCTAGTGAATTTACACTTCTAAACACACTTTCTATATTATGCACCTCCGTTATCCTCCTTTACCCTAAGCCAGCCTTCTCTTTCCTGGTTTCCATATTAGCATGACCTATGCTTACAAATGATGGGAATTTAGTCAAATATTAGTCAAATAATATGTCAAATAAATTATTTAGTCAAAGATATGAAGGACACTAGACTGGGGGAAAGCTGTTTTATATGTTTTATTAATGACAAATTCAGGACAATTTCTTAGCCAACAAAGAATATTCACCATGTCGCATTCATGTATGTAAATCCTTGTTTGCAAACCAGCATCACTATCACAGATTTTAAAAGGGACACTGAACCTAACCTTGTTCAGTACAGAAATCTAAATTAAAGTATCCCCTACAGATGCTTCTCCAGTTTCTTCCTTACCATATCCATGAAGAGATTGGTAAAATGCCTTGAACTGAACAGAGCTTAACAACATGACTAAACTTAATTTGTCTTTCAAACTGTTATTAGTACCTCATAAAACCCTCAGTGACTAGTACTGTCTTTGTTTTCAAAGTTTCTGTCTTGCCTTCCTATAAAATTATATATAGCAGCAAGTAGTATAATAGGAAATTAACACCACACACTATAATAATTTATAAATCTAAAAAAAAAATCCTAATAAAAACGGAAGTCCATGTGAACACAGCACCCCTCCCTGCTAGTTATGCCATCAATTAAAGCAGCCTGACTTTCTCTGATTTTCTGCCCAAGCCTGAAACAAGGTGCTGCTGCTTTAAAAATCTCATTATCTTTAATGAGTGGATCACTTAAAGCAGTGGCTCCTTTTTTCAGGTTCACATGGAAAACTGGAAATAATTGGGTTACTTTAAAGAATAGAAGAAAGGTGCTGAGCTCACCTAAGGTCCAAAGCACTTCTTCCAAATAATTTTCAAAGCATACATGGGCATAAGCAGAGAAAGCCTGTGGACATCATGTGGCTTATGAGCAAAAGGAGTGAATCTCTACTATTTCCCAACCCTACAGATACAGTTGGCACTTTGACCCAATTTTTTTAGAACTCACCTCACTTTTCATTGGCTGAGGCCTTTTGCCTAGTTTCACCTCCAGGAAATGTAGTGGTGAGATCATGGCCCCAATGCTGCGAATGTCAGCATATTTCAGTTCCTCTGCTGTCAAGGTTGTACCAGGTAACCCTGCCAAAGGGCCAAGGCCAGGCAGAGCACCAGCTGTCAAGGATGGGTCTGGAATCTGCCCTGGCATCATAGCAAGATATGCAATTCCACACCCTAAAGAAGAGAAGGAGAAACTAACCATTATTTGCCATAGGAAGCTGAGCAGGGAATATCCACAAAGAGTGTTAGGAAGGAGCATTACAACTGGCTATTTCTATTTTCCTATCACACACACAAAAGTTCAAAGCAGACTTTCCTGCCATGTAGTTAAAAGACCTCTGTCTAGGGCACTGCCCAGAAACCTTTGGAGAAAGATGTCTCAATGAATATGAACTATTATTAAGAAGTCCCACTGCACATCATAACCAATCTGCTTTGAAACAGTTAAACAAGGAAAATAAAATGCAAAGTAAGAGGCTGGCAGAGGGAAAATATTAAGCAAAGCTAGATGACTGAACATTGTACCTTTTTGTATGTCGCTGTAAACAAGTACTAAGTTGAAAGGAGGTTGGGAACAGGAAAAAAGAAAGAAGCAATTAATAATTGCTATGCTGAGAGGAACCAAACCAACGTTGTGGATTAATGCTTTAACAAGAAGCAATGATTACCTAATTCAGCAAGCAGCCTGTTCAATGTATTTATAAACCTAAGGAGGAAGGCAGAATTACAAAAGGCAGTTAACAAATTGTACAGATTATTTAGGACTAGGAATTATGTAGTCTCTCCAGATGAAACCTCAAAAGCACTGATCAACTTTAGTACAACTTACAAAGATGTTCCTTTGGAAAGTATTACTATTTAAAAACCTTTCCCATATCAGGTTTGAGTTGTGCTAGTTGCAGCCAGTTGCTTAAAGTCAGGAAAAAAAACCTTCATAAAGGACCACCTTGATTTTATCCATTGAAAAATCACAGCATACAGCAGAGTGACTTTGGAAAGCATAAGCAATAAGAAAGAGTGTCATGCCCAGGAAAAGTAGAATTACACAGAGATTGATCACACTATTTGGGTAAAGAAATGAAAGACCTACTCTCAAAGAATTCATCACCCCCTAGAACACAGGAAAAGTTAAAGGGGGGAAAAAAACCCCAGAGTCTGATATTAGTTTTGCTCCTTCCCCACCCATCAGTAGTCTTGGACTGGAGAGCTTAAGGTAGTGTTGTCCAAACTTGGCCACTTTAAGATGAGTGGACTTCAACTTCCAGAATTCCCCAGCCAGCCAGTGGCGGGGGGGGAAATTCTGGAAGT